CTAGATGTAGATATGTGCTCCCCAATTGTGGACAGCTGGACAAGACCAGATGAGCCCGTTGGACATAGTGGTTCACTGAGAGGACAGACCAGTCCTTATTCCTTGAATTTGAGAGGAAAATCAGAAAATGACATCTTCTGAAATGCAAACTGACTGAGAGGGGCAAATTACCTGAGAAAAGTTGCATAGTAACCGTTACTGATAACAAATAAAGTATTTCGTAACTCGGAGCTGGGAACCAGGGGTGCCTTTTAGACCTCCGGTTAATACAGGACGACTTGAATTCATAGGAGTTTGTTAGTTGCTTTGGTTACCAGAGGGTGCGGCGGTAAAGCAGGACAGTTCTCTCCTTTGGCACCAGAGGGGGAGGCCCTGGGAGCAGGTGACAGCAGCTCAGGCACCAGAAAGAGCAGACACCCACCCCCCCGTAGTGTAACAGGTGCAGATTTGGGTTTGTTCACGCTGCCTCTTGTGAGTTTGGCTGGTTTGAATCAGTCCCCCAGGGCTTCATCACCCCTGGGTGACCTGAGGAAGTCCTTTTCTTGAACATTCTGGTCAAATCAGTACAGCTGTGATGGTGTACTTTGCACCAAGGCCTCCTTTTTTTCCTCTCTTTTGCTTTTCTTCTCCTCCCCCCTTCTCACCTTGTTTCCTTCCTCATCCATCTCTTAATGTTACAGGAATGGCCCTGTCATTGTCATCTGTTGTCCTTGCAGATACATCACCATCCCCTTTGTCTCCTTTGTTCCTTTTGAAGATTGTGGCTGTGTTACAAATTAGGCTGTTTGAAGTGTCCCCTTGCCTGCTTCTCCCCTCATATGCTTCCATCCCCCAACTTTCTGCCAGAGGCTCACACAAGGTTACAAGGTTAAGGGCGTCAGCAGCTAGTGACTGCGTCTTCCTCAGGTGAGTTGAATTTGCAGATGTTGACATCTGATTTCATTCACCTGGTGGCTGTGGCCTCTCCTTTCCCTCCCACGAGGGACCGGTTCTGCCCAGACCCCCTGCTCCCCACTGTGGCTCTTCATGATGTGCTGCCTCCACTCCTTGCTTTTGGTTTTGCTTGTTCTCTCAGACCAAGAAGCACGGACCTCATTTGTGTAGAGATGTAGCCCCACAGGGCAAGTGATACCTGCGTTTGATAACAACAGGACTTTTGTTTAGGATTTTGACCCAAAGAGAGGAGGCCACCCCACTGATGAGAGCACAGAGTGTCATCTTCTGGAGTCTGCTCAGTGCTGCTTGGCAAAAAATAAAGAGCCTTTCCAGGGGAAGCCATAGGAAATCAAACTTGCCTAGCACCTCCTCTCTGATGTGCTTATGCCCTACCACATGCCTTGTGCCCTGTGCCCCTTCCTCACTCAGAGAAGAGTCAAAGAGTGATGCACTTATGAATTCCTTTCACTAGCCATGGAGGTTGGGCTTCTAACACAGGAGCCTTGACCTTGGGCCAGGGTTGTGTGCATCCTTGTAAAAAGAGACGGTGCCCTGGGGTGATAAGATTCCTTGTTGGCCCGACATCTAGATGCTTCCTCACAACATTCTGAGGCCTATTTCATTCCATTGGGCTAGTGCATCTCTGGAGGAAACGAATATTCTTGTAGTGAGTGTGCCCTGTAGGAAAGTTTCAACTTGGTCCAGCTCTTCAGAGCACGAATCTGAGAGCAGATTGATTGCAAGGCCTTTTCCAAGGAGAGAATGGACTGACTCATGATACCTGGCCAGAATCCAGAACGAGATGCAGTGCCCTCTCCAGCTGCTCGTAGAGCACTCCCTCCCCTGCTGGGATGGCTCTGAGCACCTGGTGTCCAGTGGCCAGCTGGAGAGGGCCAGGATCAGCTTTCCACCGAAGCTGCTGGGTTTCTATCCCATTCTTTAATCTGATGGAAGAATTCCTCCTCAGCTCTGATAAGCTGGCCTACCTGATGTGATGGAGTTCGATGGGAGTGTTAGTTATTGGAGTGCCAGGAAGCAACGTGGCATGCAGGGAAAAGGGGGGACACAGAGGGTCGATAGTATCTAAGGGATTTACCAGCATCTCCAGGGGCTTGAGCAGTTGGGAGCATGCGGAAGCCTGGGGTAGGGCCTCCAAAGGCTCCAGTTCTAGGGCTGCCTGTACGATGTACTAATTTGGGACCTTGGGTAAAAGTTCCTTAATCGCCCTGAGCCACGTTACCATCATCTGACAGAAGGCTAAAAGCTACTTTGTCTATCACACAGGGTTAGTCTGAGCAGAAAATAAGTGTTTAGGAAAGTGTGTTGATAGCCATAAAACATTATATTGACATAAGGCATTATTTTTAAAGCCAGTAGTTTTATATCCTGGTCATATTCTAGTTTGGGGACAGAGGCACATTTACTCAGACTCGAACACACTCCATATGCCCTTTTGAAGGGCTTTTCTCCACCCAGGCTCCATTGGGCCTAGGCAGGTCCTCTGTCTTCCCTAAGGCCCTAGAGAAAGAAGAAAGAATGTGCTCTCCTGAGAGGAAACCTGGATGAGACCCATCAGATTCAGCTAATGGAATATATAGTTTACCACAATTTTTTTTTTAAATCAGCTAATATATTAGGCCCATTTGCCTATATATCTTATTTGGCCCTGACAGTGATATGAAAGCAAGAGTTCATGTAAGGTTTAAAATTTTAGAGCTTTCCCATAAAAGTCTTGAATTAGGGTTTCTCTTAAAATAACAAATCGAGTGCTCTTTGGGGCTTTGTAGCCCCTTCACTTCCCCACTGTGCTCCCTGCCTGTGGAGTCTGGCCCCTTGCCTGGCCTGTGGAGGCACTTGGTTTTGACTCTGTCTGAGGGCATCTAAGTCCCACAGATGGTAAACTTTGCTTTTATGATGGAGGAACTTGAACGGGCAGCCTCATTTTCAGATTGGAGCAAAATGATACTGTGTGGAACTTGAAAACCGTTAAGTTATTTGTGGAAAGCCTTGAAAAGCCCTTAAAAGGTAATGGTCATTAGACTAACATGAGACATAATATTTACTCAGGGAGTGACACTGGTATTACTCCAAACAAACAAACAAACAAACTTGGAAGAATTGCAATTCTGACACAGGCTATGCTGTGGGCATAGATTTTCTCTGAGTGCCTTGTCAGTTCACAGACAACATCAGGTCGTTCTCTTACTCTCGGTGCCCCTTTTCCATTCGGTCACTGGGTGTCAACTTGTGTTCCAAGCTTGACTGAGAGATTTTCATTCTAGAGGTTTCCTAGCCCTCAGAATACAGTCTGTTGTGCTTGCCTAAATATATTTTGGGTCTTTCATAAAAACAAAAAATCTTAAACACAACTCAGCACCAATCAGAATGAGTGTCAGTGTCAGACTAGATTTAAGTCCAGCTTCATACTGGTTATAGGAGAGGAAAAAAAGGACATTGGAAAGATGAAAAGTAAAAGAGAGAAGCACATGTCCAGGGAATACTAACCAAAAGGCAATTGGCATGGCTTTATTAATATTAAACAATATATTTTAAGGTAGAAAAGGTCACTTCATAATGGGAAACTTTAATTTACTAGAAAGAATAAATTTTGATTCTTTCCGTTAGTCAGTAGATCAATCAAATCAGTAAGCATTAAGAAGATTTGAACAATATAGTTAACCAGCTTGAACTGCACCCTTCACTGTAGAATAGAGTCCATTTTTAAGACATACAGAGCATTTGTGAAAGCTGGCTGCTCACTGGGCCCTGAGGTGGATCTCAGCAAATTTCAAAGACTTCGTTCTAAGGCAGTGATACTTAACATTTTGCAAGTAACAGACGCCTTTGAAAATCCCACGTATCTTATAAGCTAGGGTTTCTCAACCTCAGCACTATTGACATTTGTGCATTATAGGATTTTAGCAGCATCCCTGGCCTTCCCTCACTAGAGGCCAATAGCACCTCCTCTCCAGTAGTAACATCCCAAAATATCTCCAGACATTGCCAGATGTCCCCTGGTTGAGAACCACTGTTACAGATCTTCTCTCCAGAGAAATACATAATTTTGTATACAGTTTCTCCCCTCTCCAGTAGCTAGATGGTCTTGCCCTCACGGAGGATGGTTGAGTGGAACATTTTGGAAGAAAAAGTAGTGGGACAGCCAAGGAGCCTAGACAAGTGGTCTGTGCTCTGTGCACAGCTGCCCCCTATCCAGCGTTTGGATCCTCGTGCATGAGTGTGTGGAGGTTTCATGGAGTTCCTGGTGCTGCGGATCTGATGGCTCAGACTGCCATCCTGTTTCACAGACTTTAGGCTTCTGTTTTTCTCTAGACCTTTCGCTAGGTGCTAGTCACAGAGAGTTCAAATCCTTGACAGTAAAAAAACAGAGAGATTATAAAATATGTGATACATGTGATCATGAAGGAGTGTAAAAGGGACAGCTTATCTCTGAGGAGCAGGGATTAACAGTACAGGATCAGAGGAGACTTCACAAAGCAGAGGTGGACAGCCAGCTGGGGTTTGCAGGGTTAATGGGAGTTTGCAAGGGGAGGGGATTTGGACAGTGCGGGCAGGTGGACCAGCACCCTGGGTTCTGGGGGTTAGTAAGCTCAGTTTTGCTGTGGTTCTGACACAGGAACCAGAAGATAAAGGAAGGTATGGGTGAGGCGTGCTTAGGAGCTTGGACTTGATCCGGCAAGTAGTTGTAGCATTTTAAGTGGGGAAGTGACACAGTCAGATTTGTGTTTGAAAGTTGATTTGAGTGGCTCTGTGAAGGACAGATTGGAGGTCAGGAGGCTAGTGGAGGCTCTGCAAAGAACCCAGCCGAATGATGAGGTCTAGAATGATCGCCGTGGCCATGGGGATGGAGGGAGATGAACCCGCAGGGAGTGAGGTCCCCAAACCCCAGAGTCTAGTCAAGGGAGGTCCGCATCTGTTACCTCGAAAGCCACTGTCATGTCCCTGGTCAGAGAGTTGACTGCCCTTAGCTCTGAAAATAAAGACGTACGTAAGTTTTTACTTGAGAGAGATTTTTTCCACTTTTTATATACATTTTTTTCCTCTAGGAAATAGACAGACGGTTGGAAAAAAAACTGAAGATCACACAAAAGGAGAGGTAAGGCTGCTATCTGGTCTGAGGGCTCATGCTCTCTGCCATCTGAGAGCTGTACAGTCAGTGGTATTCTCCAGCTGGCCGTTAGGGTTCGTAGGTCAGGCCCCTGGGCAGCGAAGCCATCCCTCAAGGACATGGTGGCTCGAGGTCTGGGGAGTGACGCTGGAGTGTTACCCCTGCCTCCTACCTCAGTGGGCGCCCTGTGTGAGGCGGTGTGATGGCAGGTGGGGAGGTGACAGAACAGGAGACGTGGGTTTGAGGCCTGGCTCTGCTCTCAGTTGCGCTGAGGTTTGGGGCAAGTTGTTTCCCCTTCTGGACGTCAGTTTCTTTCTCTGTGACCTAGGAGGTTGCACAGATGATTTCTCAGGGCCCTCTGTGACTTGATGGCTTGGGGAATCATAGGGGTGTCCTGGAAGAAAAGCTTCTCGGAAATTCTTCAACCTTTAAGAATGGCTTCTTTCCCCACCCATACAGCCAAGGAAGCAGGTTTTTCCAAAGCAGGTGAAAGTGGACTTCAGCAGCCTGTCTCTGGGCTTAGGTAACCTGTTGGCTCCCCCAGGGACCTCTGGCATGCCCTGCCCGCCCGCTAGCTTTCCTGGCTCCCCGCCTCTGATCAGATTGCTGGCTCCTTGTCTGAATGCTTATCTCAGCAACTACACTGACACCTGGTTACAGTCCCCTTGCCATGACATTCCCATCCTGCCCACGACCTGCTCTGGTTCCCCTGACAGCAGCTCAGTTCCCCCGGTCCCTACCTCTCCTGACAACCAAGGCTCTGAAAACAGACCCCTGTGGGCTGTTTGGTGCTGAAGAGAAGCTAGTCGACTGCCCTGGAGAGGGTCTTCATGGCTGTTGAGGGTGGTCACTCCTGCCTGCACCCCTTTTCTCCCGTGGCTTCTGTTTCTTTTCCTTCCTGTGTTGTTTTCCACCTCTCCTGTGGACACATCACCTGATGTGCACACCCACCAGCCTTGGACAATGCTTCTCCCTTGAGCACTGCCAAGCACTGTTTCTAGGACCATCCTTCACCCCAGCCCCGCCGCGTCCAGCATCCCAGAGAGCCCCGGTGAGGGAGGTGTCTCTGCTCAGGAGCTCTGCTGAAGAGGCGATCCCGTTGTTTGATGTAGTTTGTCTCTGGGAGGCGCAGGTCACTCCCCAGAAGGTGGAGGCAGTTTGGTAAATCCTGTCTTGATGCCAGGCAGGGATGGCAGAGTGGGCTGCTTGGTAGAGTTCTGACTGGTTTGAACACATGTGGTGGAAGACCTTGCTGGGAGGAAGACTTTGCTGACCCCCAAGCTACGGGGCTCCCACCACACCAGCCTGGTGCGCTCTGGTCTGTGTATGGAAGTCACTGGATTCTGGACTGGAAATGTCTTGCCACAGGGGCCAAACAGTGCTTGATGTAACTGTGATGAACACAGGGCTAGAAGTCCCAGGAAATGAGATGGAGTTACAGCCCCCTTTGCCTGGGCTCAGGTCTGAGGAGCAGACTGGAGCTTGTGTGAGCTTCTGAGAAACCCTTCTTGCGTGAGGAATGAGGATTTTGATGCCTGGTCAGAGACTGGAGGATAATGACGAGAAACAGGAGGGGAGGAGGAGGGAAGTGACGAGGGGTGGCTGTGGGGCATGGACAGGCCTCTGCAGTCCAGGGTAGGACTTGTGAAGCTGTGTTTGCTCTTTGTCAGCAGGAAATCCAAATCTCCTCCCAAAGTGCCCATTGTGATTCAGGACGATAGCCTTCCCACGGGGCCCCCCCCACAGATACGCATCCTCAAGAGGCCCACCAGCAACGGTGTGGTCAGCAGCCCCAACTCCACCAGCAGGCCAGCCCTTCCCGTCAAGTCCCTAGCACAGCGCGAGGCAGAGTACGCCGAGGCCCGGAAGCGGATCCTGGGCAGCGCCAGCCCTGAGGAGGAGCAAGAGAAACCCATCCTCGACAGGTGAGTGGAGCTGGCAGGGCTGACCATCTGCCCCTCCACCAGGCCACCTGGAGGAGGGGGCGAGGGGGCAGCCTCGAGTCAGGGCTGGAACCATCGCGGCTCCAGCCACCAGCCCTCCAGGTGGGGCCAGTTCATGGTACTGCGCTGGCCGGATGGTTCCAAAACCTTTGAGGAGGTCGTGGTTTGCTGGCACACTGTCTCTGAGGCACCGGGGGCACATACAGGTTCAAGGCATGGGCTTTGAGTCGAACTCTGCTAGAGTTGAAGCCCACCTTTGCCACTTACTTCTGCTTAACCTAGAGCTGCTTAACCTCTCTGTACCTTCATAGCCTAATCTGAAAAATGGGACGATAATACCTGTCTCATCAAGTTATGTGCAATTAAATGAGAGTTCTGGGAACCCTGCCTGGCACAATGGAAAATGCCCAGTTCAGTGTTTACATGTTACCTTCTGGGCCTCATAATAGCCCAGAGTGATATTTTTGTGAATTTTTGAAATTGTTTTTTATTCCTGGAATTTTTTTTCTCCGCTGTTCTAGAGGTTGTATTTAAGTTTGTCACCTCCTGATAAAGCAGCATTTGTTCAAACAGCATCTTTCTAATTTTGAGAGCCTCCTGGGCTTGGTATTCTGGCACGTGAAGAACTCACCCATGTGCCTTCGTTCTGTCCCTTCACTATTTTGGAGGCTTCTGTTATCGTTCCTCTATGCCATCACTTGGCAGCATAGAAAAAGTCCCATTTCCTTTTAGTCTCCCATAGTGACGTGAGTCAACCACTAACCCCATGATTCGGAGAGAAGAAGGAAGGTGGCGATGCGGTTGCCGGTCACTCTGCTGAGCTCTGGGTTAGGGGTCTTTACCTTGACCCCAACACTCTGTGCCACGTGGTTCTGTGGAGGGTTGCTGCCCATGGTCACTGCCTCGGGACAGCTTGGGCCCTGAGCACCCCCTCTGCCTCCAGATGAATGATGGTGAGCCAACCTGGGGGGGAGGAGTGCTCCAGGCGCTAGGAGGTGGCCATGGGCCACCCGCTCCATGCCAGGGCTCCCCAACCTGGAGGTGCCCTGTGTCTGCTTGCCAGAGAAGCAGGCTCAGGGAGCCCAAGCTGGCTGATAGCCATGGTGACTTCTGCCCCTGCTTCAGAGGTGGTTGCTTTTAAGATTTGGGGAACCTCTTTTATATCTTTTTTCAAGCTTCCCTGTGATTTTCTTCCCTTCAGGCCAACCAGGATCTCCCAACCCGAAGACAGCAGGCAGCCCAATAATGTGATCAGACAGCCTTTGGGTCCTGATGGGTCACAAGGCTTCAAACAGCGCAGATAAATGCGGGCAAGGAAGGATGCCACCGCTGCCGCCGTCACCGCCTCCTGGGTCGTCTGCCACGGGTCACACTGCCGTGGCAGACAGCTGGACTTGAGCAGAGGGAACGACCTGATTTACTTGCACTGTGATCCCCTTTGCTCTGCCCACTGTGACCTTGAACCCCATGCACTGTGACCTCTCCCCTTACCCCCTTCCCACTGTGATTGGCACATCTACAAGGGCTGCCCCAAGTCAACGGAAAGGGAAAGGATGGGGGTTAGGGAAGGGTTGGGGGGACCCACCGAGGACTCAGAGTAGAGAGTCAGACAGTGCCACTTGGCCACTTGGGGTCAAGCCAGTGCCAGCAATAAGTTTATCATGCTCATTAATTTGGGATTTCAAAACACAAATGAGAACTCCCGTCCACCCACCCCCAAGTGCATGTCTTCATCACTTAAAAGCAAGTTCCTTTTGAAAATATCCTTTTTTTTTCCCCTTTCTATTTTTGTTTGTTTATAAAAATATCTGATTTGCAAGAAAAAGTGCATGGGAGGAGTTTTAGCAGTTTAATGAATTTTTAATTGAGAAAGGGTAGTTTGGTAGTCTACTTAAAAATGTTTCTGGGAAATTCACTAGAAACATAAACCAATAGGATTTTGGTGAGCTGAGCTTCTGTATTCCTACTGCCGCCCAGAAAAGGGGCAGGGCTGTCTAGCCCCCAGGACAGATGAGCACCCCATGCCTATACCTCCCTCCCCGCAGCTAAGCCCCAGGCATCTTGGCCCTACCTGGAGACTGGGCTAGTTCTATAGGCCCAGAGAGCTTGGGGAGGGTGCCAACCCCACCTCAAGTATTTTGGGAGATGGGGAAAGTGAACAGACTTCCCCTTCTCGTACCCCTCAGGGTGGTTCCCTACCAGCCAGCCTTGCTACTTGCAGAAGAGAGCAGGGAGTGAGACCGCACTCCCGAGCTTAGAAGTAAGGGATGCGCGATGCTCAGTATTTTGCATCAGCACAAGGAAAGCCAGGAGAGAGTCTGGCTCCAGGACCCAGCCTCCTGCTAGTGTGGTCAGAAGGTGTCTGTGGGGCGCCGTCTCTGTGGATGGCATCAGCTTGGTAACTATAGCTGGTACCTTTCCTTTGTGAAATCACTACCTGGGGAGTAGGCCATCCTGAGTACATGTGGGAAGAGACAGGCTGTGTGTTGCAAGGATTGGTGATGACAGGCTGATTCCCCATAGACCTAGGCTACCCTTCACCCCTTTTCCAGAGCGAGGGCCTGGAATGAAGGCAGCCTCGCCTCTGTGCCTGGAACCTAGAGCTTTGCTTTGGCTCCTGGAGGTGGAAGAGGCTGAGGGCAGCTGCCCAGAGCAGCTGTGTGTGTCCAGCCTGGCTCCTCTCAGGCTTGCGGGTCTCCTTCCGCTGCACTGCGCCTTATCCCTCAGCCAGCCAGCCAGCCTCCCACTCAGTGGTAGGTATGACATTTTGTGATTAGGGCAGCTTGTGGTGGCCAAGGTGGCAGGCTAGGTTTCGCAGGCTCACTTCACCTTTGGTTCGCCTGGCTCTCGGCCGTGCCCTGTGGGAATGGGGCCAGGCCCAGCAAGCCATGTCCCACTATACCTTCCCCTTAGAAGGAAGGGCCAGCTGCTAACTGAAGCAGCAGCTAGTCCGCAGCACAGCCTTCTAACTGTGTGAAGCCCGGAAATTGTCCGCAAGCAGAGCTGGCACGGAAAGGAGCTTCGGTCAGTCAGAACCCAGGCGTGTTGCGTTGTGCCCACAGACTGTTTTGATGGGGAATTACCTCTAGGAGTGGGCAAGGGAGAGGGTTGGCTGCTGTCTTTCTAGTTCCATGCCCTGACCAGGCTTCCTCATTCTAACTGTATAGTGTCCGTCCCTCATGTAAGAGTGGTTTCTGGCCCAAGGTGAGACTATCCTCTCAGGTGGAGAAGGGTAGAGGTAGGCCAGGTGGGAAGGCCAGAAGTGCCGATCGCTCAGCCGTTGGGACCACCTGTTCGTGCCGCCTTCTACCGGGAGCCAGAGGGAAGACGGCTGCTGGGTGTCTGTGGATTGATGTAGTAGGGACTGGTGCTCCCACCTCCCTCCGGCCAAAGAAGGGTTTCTGCCCGCCATGTGCCTGTCACCACCCACCAGCAGTCATAGCCTTGGCTCCCAGATGGAGAGGTGGCAGGCAAAAATTTTTTAAAAAAGGAAAGAAATGAAAACAGGAAACTATTGTGTCGGGGGGAGGTGGGAGGGGAGATGGGAGAACGGTTTGGATTTTGTGTGTGTGTGTGTGTGTGTGTNCCTGTGAAAGGGTCATTCGACCCCCAAAGGGGTCGCGACCCACAGGTTGAGAACCGCTGATTTAGAGGGAAATGACTATAATTTACTTTGAACCGAATCAAAAACAGCATGGATTGATGAATAGATATAAAGGGATAGATATAAGGCAACTATGGCAAAATGGCAACAGTAGAACCCTTGGCAGAGGGTTGGATGAGTAGGTGTTTGCTGTAAAATTCTTTTAACTTTTGCTGTATGTTTGAAATTTTCAATAAGCCATGAGGGAAAAATTAAGCAGTGAAATTTTAAAACAAAAAGGAAATAATGGTTAATTCGTGTTTGAGGGAATTTGTGTGATTTGGGTGGGGTACATGGGGGCTTCAAGGTTACTGGAAATGATCTATTTTTAAACTGGGAAAATGGACACATGGGAATTTGTTTTATTGCTCCTAAAATTATGTATTAATGTTCTTCAGAGTAATATATATTCAGAGTGATTCATAGATGCTGGGAGGAAAGCAGATCTCTTGTCTTGGGGGTTGCTAAGTTGGCGTTCCTGGAGCAGCCTGCAACCCCCACCCCTACCCCAAGTAGAAAAGGCTCTGTCTGCGGTAGGAAACAAAAATGACCCAATTTACTGAATGTCAGGGACAAGCCTCTGTGTGATACACAGATCACCTGGGCCATTCTGCCCTCACTCTTTGCTTCTAGCCCTCACGTGTTCATGTTGTTTTTGTATTTAGCCATATCTTCCTTAGATGAACCACTAAACCACCAAATATGGGGAGTCTTCCACATCTTGTGTCCTACAGCTCAGGCAGCCTCCATCACATCCTTTTTCTGGGATTGCTCTTTCGGAACTGCAAGAAAAAATTTCTCTTGCTGCTGAGGTTGCTAAACTAAAAGGGTGTGAGAATGGGGTTGCCAGTTGCCATCCTTCCCACTGTGGGAAGAGCCTCGCTGAGCTTGAAGCCAATGAATAGAGATGAGCAGGAGAGCTAAAGCCTTAATGGGACCTTCGGGTCTCCTGGATCCAGCCATTCCTGAGGCCCCGACCAGCTATGCAAGCCAGTACATTCCCCTTTTGCTTAAGTCGGTTTTATTTGAGTTTCTTTCACTTGCCGCTAAGAGTCCTAACTATCAAAAGTACTCAGCTGGGGCCGGCCGAGTGGCGCGATGGTTAAGAACTGGCTTGGGATGCCAGAGGGCCCCGGTTCGGATCCCACATATGAGGGCCAGTGACACTGCCNCAATTCCCCAGTACTGTTCCCATCCCCCAATTTCCCAATAAAAATCTTAAAAAAAAAAAAAAAAAAAAGTTTGAACTCTGAGCAACAGCAGTTCAATGCCTGGCCCGAGCTGAGCTGCCGCTGAGCTGCCAACAGGTGGCAGGATGGCTCAACTAACAACAACAACAAAAAAGTGATACTAAATCTTTAAGTTATATTTGTATGGATATATGTTGTTAACTTAAGTGTGGACGAAAATGGGGTTCTATAGAAAGTAACCTCACAGGATGCTCTGATTATAAATTCCTAACTGGGCAGGCAGGTCATGGTGGATAGTCATGTCCCTGGCCTATAACTTGTTTAGTAAAAGGTTTATCTTTGCCTTAAGCAAGTCCTGTCCATTGTTTCTGTGCATCTAGGATAATACACCTTTGAAATAATTGTAACCACCCTCAAGAGAGCACATTTGTTAACTATCCTGTAATTCAGTCCCCGCCTTGCTCTCTCCCACCTTCATGCAATATTCCTTATGTCCCCTCCTTAATTTCAAATCCATAAAAGAAGCTGCAAAACTGTTCTTCCATGGAACATTTGAAATCTTGCTCCTGGGCTTATGTTGTCAGTTTGGCTCAAATAAAATCTTATAAAAATTTTCTACACACTTGAACATTCTTATGTCAACATAAGTGTACCAGAAATTGTATAAAATTCCTAGGAATCTGATATGTTTTGGTACACTGTTACCAGTCATAATTCCAATTATGTTAAAATGTACATTACAAAAATAATCAAATATCCTTGTTAATTGCATTTAACTGAGCTCTCATCTGATCTTTAACCAGGGCTATTTTAAGTCTTTTGTAATTCACAGTTACGGGTTTATTCTGGTTCTTCTCTGAAAGCATTTACGATTAACTAAAGGCAAAAATACTTCATCTTGAAGGAAATGTATGAAAAAGACTGACAAGTACTGTGGATTACAGGTGCCTGATAACTTTAAGATCATACCACTGGGTATGAATTTCCAGAACTCTGATAAAAAAACTGATGGATTCAGAAAACTGCTAACCCAAGTTCAAGCAGAACAGAAATCCATTACATGAGACTGAACTGATGAGGATGATTATAATGTTTTGACTTTTTGTTTGAAACATTGCTGGTTTCTTATTGTTTTCTTTTCCAGATTTAAGAAATCCTTTTTCGGGCCGGCCGAGTGGCGCGATGGTTAAGAACTGGCTTGGGACGCCAGAGGGCCCCAGTTCGGATGCCACATGAGGGCCAGTGACACTGCCCTCCACAGCTAAGATGCTGAACAACAGCTCAACCTGGAGCTGCGCTGCTGTGAGTCGCCGGCGACGGCATAGGCTGCAGCCCCTGTGGCAGTGGGTTGCCATGGGCTACCGTATGTAGCCAGCAGCCAGCNTTTTTTTTTTTTTTTTTAAGTAAGCTGCAGGCTTTGGCTTGGAAAACCCCAGGGGATGGGGGAGGGAGGCAGAAACCTGAGGCTGCTGCCCCTTTATCTGCCTTCATGGTACTGTCCCCTTCCCCCAGCTCCTCCCTGACCCTATGAGCCAGGCCTCAGACCTTCCAGCTAACCGCTTCCCATGAGCCACTACTCTGATGTCAGCCTATAACCAAAGGAGCTGGGGGTCTGGGCCTGGTGACCAACCCTTCTCAGCCCACTCAATCAGGGTGCTCCCCACCTGCAGGCAGGAGGCAACACCCTATCTGCTACCATCAGCCCCTTCCAGAGCCCACTGCCCCGCCCTGCCCTGCCCTGCCCAGCCCAGCCATACCCTGCTCTGCCCCGTCTGGGGATGCTCTGCTCAGGGATGGGCCTGCAGGGCGGCCCCAGCCTCCCTGGGAAGCAGAAACTCTGGAAACCTCTGGGGTCCTGTTTTCTGGCCATGTGATCCCAAGGGTGCACATGGACCCCCTGGGTGTCTGAACAGAAGGGCATGGGAGGGGGGCCGCACCCCTGCAGTCCTGCTCTGCTGGTCTAGCGGCAGCTGCCCACCCCACCCCGCACCGCGGGCTCCTGAGTCGGCAGATTAAGCATTTTATAAATTGTATTTTAAATACATGTTTTAAACTTGTCAGAGCCTTGTCCTCATTTCAGTTCCTGGCCTCCTAACCTCTCGCTGTGACTGCTTGTTTAACCACTGGGGAGCTGCCTGCGCTCAGTCCCAGGGAGGTGCAGTCTCTCTCTCTCTCTCTCTCTGTTGGAGAAGTAAGCCTGGGGTGGTGTGTGGATTGGGGGGCAAGGACCCACACCCTTAGGCTCCAAGGGAAGGGGACCTCTAGGTCCCGGGGCTGTTGATGAGAGCATGGCCGAGGCCGCTCCTGTCCTTCCGTGGGGTCTGCCCGTTTTAGGAGTCAGGGTCTTGCCCAGATACTTCTCTTATGTTCACCGCTCCAAGCAGGTGGGAGGAGAGAACTCCTGTCCTTGTGGGGCTCCTAGTCCAAAGGGCAAAAACTCGTGAGGAGAGTCCAACTCTGTCCTTCCAGAGTGCACAGGTCGGGACTTTGTACCCAGGGCCACCTCTAGCAGGAGCCCCAACCCTGGCCAGGGTTTTGAGGTCCATCTTGGTTCAGGGGCTCCCGAGCCCAAGGAAGGCTGGGTGGAGGGATGGAGGGGTGAAAACCTGGGGTGGGGCGTGGGGGTCTTTCTTACACCAGGATCACAAAGAAGCAAGTGGGTGCCCAGAGGGTAAGGGCCCTGGCACCAGACACAGAGGCTGTGTTTCTTGGTGTTTAATGGCTTACCAGGCCATAAAAGCAAACTCCAGCAGTGGTCCCTGCCTGATATCCTGTCTGCAGGCTTGAACGGAACAGCTGCCCAGAGTCAGGACGCTGCAGGTCAGTGGGTTCGGGCCGGCACTGAACTGAGCCACTTTCGGCGGTCAGAGCTGTGTTCCCTAAGGAGAGAGGTGGGGGAGAAGGGTGGGAGCAGTTAGCCATCCCCATGTGCCCAAGGGGAGAGTGATGGAGCCAGCAGTCAGGCTCAGGCCTGGTTCCAAGTCCAGTGTTCTTATCTCCCCAAAATGCTGGAAGGGGAGTGCAGGGGAAGCTTCCCTCTACCCAGCCACTAAGCCTGTTTCCTGCTACGGACATGGAATCAGACTTGGGCACAGGACTTGAGAATTAAACCCCCTGACAAGAAAGGCAGGTAGTGCCACTGAGTCCCAGGCACAGGAAAGCTTAGGCACCCTGACTTACAAACAGTACTTGGTACACAGGCCCTCAACTAAGGTTAGTTTCTTTCCCTCTTCTATTCTTTCTCCTTTTTCCTCCCTAGAGCCAGTCTCCCAGGCATCATTTCTTGGAAGGATGGAGTCCCTTCATATTAGGCAGGGGCCTCGTAAGGAAGGAAGTGGATGGGCCTGGGCTGGGGCCCCCATCCTTTGGGCACCCACCTGCTTCCTTGAGATCCTGACTTGAAGAAGAGGCTACGGATGTCAGGGCTCAGTCTGGTGGGGGTGCACTGGTCCAGCATGTAGTGGCTGCCCTGTTTCCGGCGGACCGTCTTCTTGCCCAGCCTCGGGCAGAGCGGGATGCAGGGCACCTGAGCATAGGGACTCTGCAGGTTGGCAGCTGGCAAGGGAGGAGGAGGCAGGAGAGGGGAAGGCTTGAGAGCACGCCCAGCCTTGGGAGGCAGGCAGACCCAGGTGAAATCCTGGCTTTGCTGGGTGGGTTTGGGCAAATTTACCTCCCTGAGCCTCTTTACAAGCTGGAGATGATAGTGGTACCCAGCTCACAATGGATGATGAGAATTAAAGGTACAGTATATGCAAAGTGCTCAGCTGAGTGCTGAATACAGTGTAAGGGCTAATAGCTTAAAAAGGAGCGGATATCTTTTGTGATAGGTCCTGGCAAAGTCTAGTAGGCACACTCGACTCTGGAAAGCTCCTAGCCTATCACTTGGCACACAGTAGGTGCCCAATAAATGGTACCATTAGGGGAGGCCGCCTTGCCCAGTGGAAAGAGCATAGGTTTTGGAGTCAGACCTCAGTATTAAAACTCCCCTTTCTGACCCACTGGCTGTGGGGCCTTGGGCAAGTTGCTAAAGCTTACCGTTTTGTTTTCTTATCTGTAAAATGGGTAAGTACATGCTTATGAGGATTAAATTCTAGCTCATCTGCAAAGGACCTAGCACAGTGAGTGACCCCGGTGGGTGCTCACATGATAAGCTGGGAGTGCCAATCACCCTCCCTTCTCAGTCCAGGCTCTTAGAGCCAAGCTGTGCTCAGGGCCAAGGCGCTGGGAAGAGTCCGTGCAAAAGGCCTTTGTCAGAGGGCTGGAGATGGGGTAGTGATGATCAGCCCATTGACCAATGTGCGCACAGTTAAGCCAAAAGTGGGGAACCTTGTGTCTCAGCTCCTGGGACTGGCTGTGTGGGGGCCCCGGGAAGGAGGGCAGGCGGGCCGGAAGGCAGAGCCCCCACCATGCCCAGGGCCCTCACCATAGTTCTGCTGCTTCAGCCGGCTCAGGATCCTGAGGACCCTTCGTTCTGGGACTTCCAAGATGTCCGCCTGTTGCAGGTTGTGGGGAAGCTTCTTCCGGGACCGCAGATGGCCTATGGTCGAGTCCATCTCTCGGGCCTTACTGGTGCCTTCCTTCAGCTTCCTCTGGTAATAGCTGGGGAGGCAGTGCCCACCCAGCTCAGCCTGGCCCTGTTTAATCCACCCGCCTCCCTCACTGAGCGCCTGTTCTGTCCAGCCAGCTCGGGAGCAGAGACACAAGCCCAGGGATAGAGAGACCTGGGATTTAGTCCCAGCTCTGCCGTTAACTTCCTGTGACCATGGGCAAGTCATTGCACTGCTTTGGGCCTCAGTCACCCCTATGTGAAATGGGCGGAAATGGTCCTCTCTTCTCTGTCACTTGACGTCCCTGAGCTTCCAGTCTCCCCTGGGGAAAACGGATCAAACAGTCCATGTGTTAAAGGGTTACACAACAAGGCCCATCAAGCGCTCAGCAAAGTGTGTGGCCCATGGAAAAAGCTTGGGAAATGTTAGCTGTGATTTCTGTCGCTGATATTTTTACTTAGATGTGCAAGTGTTTCGTGAGTCAGCTGTGCACTGAACTCCCACACATCTTCCAGATTCCAGCTTAAGGGCTATCTCCTCCAGGAAGTCCTCTCCTGCAGACCAGCTAAGCTCCCACTGCGGGCCCCTGACAACCTGTACTTTGCTCCATTGTAACCTGACAGCCCGCTTTATTCTAACTCATCACTACTTGCCTTTTCTCCACTAGACTGCAGCACTGTTCATTTCTTCAACAAATGTTCCTGGAGTGTTTGCTATGTGCTGGCCACTCATCTTAAGTGCTTGGGAAAGAGCAGTGCAGGATATACCGGGGGTACCAAAAAATGTATATAAGTGGACTCTTTGGTCAACGTTGCTCAAGCAGTAGTTTGCCCTTGAACACCTCTTGTCATTGCAGAAGTTAAACGTGACTTGCATCCATCTTTTGTTATCGGTATATATTATTACAATTTTAACAGTTTTTTTTCCCCTGTCTTAAAATGTGTATACATTTGTTTGGCACCCACTGTATATCCCTATAGGGTCCCATGTCATAGTCTCTCGGCCCCATCTCACTCTGGCCGCTGCCACAGCAACCACTTCTGCATGGGCTTCGGCCAGCTTTGCACAAGGACAGCCTGACCTGGTCTCACCTCAGGCCTGAGTCTCTTGCTTCTTGCCCCAGAGCTTCTCTGACCCATGTGCAACCCAGAAATGCAGGGGAATTAAACACCCATAGGGGGCCACCCTTGACCAAAGGAGCCAGCAGCTAATGCCCTGACAGAGTTCTGAGCCCCCATTCATAGTCTCCTCCGAAGATCCTGGGGGTGGGTGACTTAATAACGCATCCTTGTATTGGCTCTTCCTCCCTCGCTGTTCACGTCCCTTCCCCACTCTCGTTTCCTGGAATCACTTTCTAAATCTACTACCTAGGCTTGTATCTAGTGGGAGAGTCAGACCATGAACACATAAAATGCGATAGCTTGTCAGGAGTGATGGGTGCTCTGAGGAAAAGTAAAAGCCGGGTAGGGGGTAGTGGTGAGGGGCTGTTTTGCTCATAGCGGTCTGCAAGCCTTGGAGGTGATGGCATTTGAGCAGATGAGGAGAGGGAGCGAGCCAAATGGATACCTGGGGGAAGAATCTTTCAGGCAGAGGGAATGGCATGTGAAAAGGCCAAGAGGTTGCAAAGAGCTTGGTGAACTCTAGGACCAGCAGGGAAGCCAGAGGGGTTACAGCCTGGTGCGTGGGGGAGAAGGGGAGATGTGGGCAGCAAGATGGCAGGGCCAGACCACCTGGGACTTGGTAGGCAGTGGTGAGGGGGGGGCATGCTGCTCAGAGATTGGGAAACCCTTAGGGCTTAAGCTGATGGTTCTGCTAGGGCCTTTGTCTATCCCTGGGACCTGAAATGTGGGGTTTTGTTGAGTTTCACACACAGAAAACAGAAAGTGAATACCAGAGCCCTCACATGAAGATTGGATCTAGACCCCCGAGTAAAGCTAGGACCTGGAAAGGCAACACACTGAATAAAATGATAGACTAGAAAATAACTTCACCCCACAGGGCCAGTAGGACATGAGCAGTGTTTGTGCAACTCTCTTGATTACAGTTTTAAAGGAAACTGCTTGCTTTCCACTACCCCTGCCCTTCCTATGGGCTTGAATTCAGGTGTGTTGTTGGTAAATTAGCTTAGGATTGATCTAGGGAATGGTGGAAGAATAAGTTGGAAAGAAACGGGGTGCTTGGGGGGACCTTCCTGCCTGCTTCCTCCAGACTGTCAATATAAGAGAAATAAACTTATCTTGTTTGAACTACAGTACGTTGGGGCCTATTCCTTAACTAATACACCGGGAATTCTATACCCGGCTAACCTAGTCAGTAAATGTAAGGGTAGAATAAACATACAAAATCTCAAAAATTTCACCTCCTATGCATCCTTTCTCAAGAAGCTGCTGAAGGGCATGTTCTTCCAAAAAATAAGGGCGTAAACCAAAAAAGAAAAGATACACATACAGAAAACAGGAAATCGAACACAGGAGAGAGGCAAAGGTAAAGGAAGACGAAGGGAGATCCCACAATGGCAGTGCAACTGCCGTTTACAACAACCAGTTTAGATTGGATCGCATAGCTGAAAAGACAGAAATTTCGAGGGACGACATTTCTGTACCTTTTGCTGAATTATTGCCTTTCTAACCCAAAAAACCTACTGGGGAAACATGCCCTTCCCCTGCCCCCTTTTTAAAAAGCAAACCAAAACCGAGAAAGATTAAGACGTGATTTAGCAAACAATCCTAATCAGAGGAAAGTAAGAATCCCTAGGATGACAACAGACTCCCAAGATGATAGTTCTATTGCAGGCCTTAAAAGAAATCAAATCCAAAAACTAGAAAAATGGAGTTATTTACAACATGCCTCCAAGAAAAAGAAACTCTAGGGGTGACCGGTTAGCTCAGATGGTTAGAGCGTGGTGCTGATAACACCAAGGTTGCCAGTTCGATCCCTGCATGGGCCACTGTGAGCTGCACCCTCCCTAAAAGAGTCAACTTTGCCATTGTAGCATAAAAACAATGTGTAACCAATGACCATGGCTGTTCCCCAATAAAATTTAAAAAAGAAAAGAAAAGAAAAGAAAGAAACTCTAGGAAGGTACAAGAATGGATACAAAGAAAAAAAATCAAGGCAACTGCCTACTTCAGGAAATTAAAAATAAAAACAAGAAAGGAAATGAAACCATAGTACACCAAAATGATCATCTATGAATAATTGCATAACCATAATAATAAAAAACTCAAATACTTATTTAGTAAAAAATGACTAAATGGGGAGGAGGAGGCTCAGGGGATAGTTGTACCTGACAGCTAAATCCTTACCATCATAGGAAGTCAATAGGTAGAAGTCTAAAAATCGCTAAGCAAAATGTTGTACAACATGTATGTTATTTAGAAGGAAGAAGGAAGGAGTCAAAAGCACTTGCCTTTTGAAGGAAGACTTCAAGGAGTGGCGAGTATGATAAGGAGTGGAATAGGGAACAGCCATTGTTTATTATAAACTTTTATGGATTATTTGGCTTTCTATTTATTTTTTTTTAATTTTAAATTAATTAATTTTTATTTGGCTTTTTAAACAATGTGCACTTATTTGATTTACATTTTTAAAAATTAACTCAAGGATAAAATATCAGTTGAATACTAAGCAAAAGGAAATTGGTATACACATATTAATAATTTAAAAACTAGGCCTTAAGACAAAAAGCATACTAGAGACAAATGATTATTGTATACCGTATTTGCCGGCGTATAAGACGACTGGGCATATAAGACGACCCCCTAACATTTCCACTCAAAATACAGAGTTTGTTATATACTCGCCGTATAAGACTACCCCCTTTTCCGCACACCTTCCACACACCAAATAAAAGGTAAAACAATATCAGATTTGATTTGGCCCACTGAAGTGCAAACAAGCGTATTGTATTTCGTGTCACCACATAACCGTTTTGGCGATGTTGAGCCACCATGTCTGCTACATGTTTTTCGAGTTCTGGCCAGTGTGGGGTGCCTCTTCTTAATGCACACTTACCCCTTGGCATACTCTTTAATGCTTTCTCATTTGATTTCCAGTCCCGAACCATCTTTTCTGTTACTCCATATTGTCTTGCAGCAGCACAATTATTATTTTCCTTAGCAAAGTTTATAACTTTCAGTTTAAAATTTGCATCATACTTCTTTCTTTTGGCTGGTGCCATGATAGGGATGATAGGGGTTTGACTGGTCGACATTTTCTATGCTGTACTGTACAATGGTGCAGTATTGTGGTTGGCTGTTGGCTGTATACAAAGCCTGATTTGATTGGTCCCTGCTCCCTGTTTGCCCGCCCTGTCACTATAGCAGTCTGGTCCACCCTTGCATCAGCATCTCCCTGGGACCTCACTAGTGCGCAAGTGCGAGCTCTTCAACATTCTAACAGGCACCATGATAGCGCAAAATCGCGAATCTTCAATGCATATGTAAAGAAATATACGGTAACCCGAATTTACCACACTCGCAAAATCGCACACAGCCGAGCATACACCCAGCAGCGCTGCTGATGCCTGAACGGTATGTGGAATGAAGTGGGCGGGCATCGGGAGGCCACTATGGCACGGGGCAAGCACTATGGGCAGTCTATCTGAAGTGTACCTGGCGTATAAGACGACCCCCCACTTGGAGGCATATTTTTCAGGGCCAAAAAATCGTCTTATACGCCGGCAAATACGGTAATGATAAAATATTCAGGGAATACAAAATTCTAAACATGAAATATAAAGCAACACCTGATATAATTACAAGGAGACATAAATTTCACCACCACAGAAGTGATCATAAATCACTCAACTCTGCCATTGTAGCATCAAAGAATCCATAGACAATATGTAAATGAATGGGTGTGGCTGTGTTCTGATAAAAATTTATAAAAACAGAGCAGGCTGGATATGCAAGCTTATAGTTTGCCAACCCCTGCCTACTGTACATTTTCCCTAAAATGATAATCTATATGAGAAAAAGAATTTGGAAGTTGAGTCTTACCAAGTTAGAGGGCTTAGGAAAAACACTTGGATTTTCACAATTATGCCCTAAC